CGCCTCGGGTCTGCGCCCCCTCCCCTCCCGGGTCTGCGCGTGCCCGCTCTGACTCAGCGTCCCCGGGGACGCACGCACCGCTGCAGAGCCCGGAGCAGGCCCCTTTGGGTTCTTCACCGGGTGCCTGCTCCGCTTGTGACGCACACGATTTAGAGATGCGGTTCTTCATTCGAGAAACGTTGAGAGCCTACCGTATGCCAGGCGCTGGGCAACGGGCCTTGAACACCCCCTCCAGAGCACAAGGGACCAGAGCACAAGCTGGGCAACGGGCCTTGAACACCCCCTCCAGAGAGAGGGGCTTGAGCACAGGGTCCCTGCTCAGGGAATGACGTTATTCCTCAGTTTACCCTCTCTGCGCCTGCTTAAAATGGTGCTTGTGCTCAAACCTGGCCCCCGGTGATGTCGCTGTCACGGAGGGCCGTGCAAGGATCAGACAACGGTCATGAGGAGTGACCAGACTGCTCCCTGGACATTCCTTGGCCTAAGCAGGCGCTCCCATCTGCCATCACCAAGCAGAGCGTGTCTTTCCTCCTAGAGGGTGGCCAGGCCTGGCTGGCCTTAAAGACTGCACACCAGCTGGGTCGTGGGTCCAGCTCGACTTTACTCTGGACCTGGGCAAGGGATGGGGCCCAGAGGGAGGGGTCATACAATTGAGGTCAAGCACGGCCTGCCAGGCGGGAGGAGCCAGCTTCGGGACACGGAGGAAAGAACATTGCAGCCTGGAGAATTAGAGGCCAAGGTGCTAGGTGGGGTGCTGCGATGGTTCCAAGGATGCCTCGGGAGTCACGTGGCCAGGAGACGCGGTGTCCCAGGCAACAGCGGGAAGAGAAAAACTGGACGTTAAGCCCCGCCTCCTGGTCATGAAAGGGGCGGGGGGACTTGGTGAATAGTGTACGCATGCGGAACTTCTCATTGCATTCTGGGAGTTGTAGTAAGAGCACTGTGTCGCTCCGGGGAGGACTACATTTCCCAAAAAGCCTGCCACGCCGTGCGCGCAGCTTCCGGAAGGAGTCCACTACAAGAACACGAGGTTCTGGAAGTGAGAGGCGCTGAGTCTGAATTGCCTGAGCGGTGGTCGGCGTGATGCCCAAGGCCAAGGGGAAGACCCGGCGGCAGAAGTTCGGTTACAGTGTTAACCGGAAGCGTCTGAACCGGAGTGCCCGACGGAAGGCAGCCCCGCGGATCGAGTGGTGAGGGGCCCGGGTTCAGGAGGTCACCAATTAAACCTCCATTGTAAACTCCACAGTATTCTCCTCATTTCAAAGCTGTATACATAAATTCGGAGCTCCACAAGCAGGATTTCTTAAAGTGTGAAAGCACCTTTTTGTGAATTTGCCACCACTTTTCCCGCAGCTCCCACATCCGACATGCCTGGGACCACACCAAGTCCGTGCGGCAGAACCTGGCCGAGATGGGCTTGGCTATGGACCCCAACAAGGCGGTGCCCCTCCGTAAGAGAAAGGTACTGGCTTGGCCCCCGCCCCTCCCCTCCCTCGCGCCCTGCCCGGGGTTGGAGCTTCTCCACTTACTTTTTTCCCTCTGAAATTAACTTGTGTCCCTTGGCATCTCAGTGGTATTTTCCCGAATTTATCTTTTCCTGCCCCTTACTTCCCTTCCATCTTCCCCCAAGTCCTCCAGTTATCCTTGGTCTGAGGCGTCTCCTAGGACCAGTTTCTCCCGAGGAAGGATTTCCTGGGCCACCCCTTTAAAAACCAGCACCTTTCCCACTCAGGAACCTCTGCCCCGCGTTACTTTATTTTATTTTTTACTTTGTCCCGCGTTATTTTAATTCATAGCACTTGGTGGTGTATTGTATATTTATCTCCTTCCCCCAACAAAATCCAATAAGTAGTTAACCTAATAAAGGGATTTACTGATTGACTTGGCCCCGTTGCCTTTAGGCAAGTTTCTCTGTACCCCTCGCTCGTGCGAGGGAACTGGCGCTGCTGTTTCTTGAACAGACGTGAGGCTGCAGCCCAGCGCTATCAGGTGGCTCCCCTCATTGTGGGGTTTCATTGGATTGTCATCCAACAAAGTGGGCAGACAAGGCTTACTATACCCATTTCACGGGCGCAGAACGATGAATTGCTTGCTGAGTCTCTCGAGAATCAGGAAACCTCCAGGGCATTGGTTCTCCTTGTCACCTGTTCCTGCCTGACCTTGTGCAGGGATTCTTGGGGGTCATGCAGTGAGTGGCGCTGGGATGGGCAAGCGCCTCTAGAAGTTTCTCTCACCCAGGATCCTTCCTTCATCTGCTGGTCTCACTGTTTGTTCTCTGCAGGTCCAGGCCATGGAGGTGGACGTAGACGAGAGAGGGCAGCTCATACGGAAGCCCTATGTGCTGAATGGTGGGTGCTGCCACATTCCTCGGGTCACCATCCAGCACAGTCAGGGCTGGAAGGGCAGAGAGAGAAGCCAGGACCAGAGGGAAGAAAAGTTGTTCCAGGGCTCACACCGTTAGGGCCGTCTCCCCGGCTGGGACCTGCAGTCTCCTGGCTAAACTCAAGTGTGTGAAGTGAGGTCAGACCTGTCAGGGAGGATGAGCCAGGTGCCCGAGAGGTTAGAAAAGAAACCCATTAAGTCTCAGGCTCATATTTCAGCTTCTCCTGAATTTAAGGATGAACAGGTTATTAGAGACTTCACCCTCTTATTTAATCTTCCCAATGACCAATCAGTTTCATGTTCCTAAAGGCCACAGAAACTGAATATTAAAATAGAAAATAAATTCTACAGGGAAGACAGAATACTGTGGAATTCTCACCCACCCTTCCTATTACTTGTCTGAGATTTTTGGGGGTTTTTGTTAATCCTCACTCAATATTTTTTCCATTGAGAGTGGGAGGGAGGGCGAGGGAGAAGAAGAGAGAGGGAAACATCAGTGTGAGGAAGACACATTGACTGGTTGCCTCCTGCACACACACCGACGGGGGCCAGGAGTGAGCCCCGCAACCCTAGGACGTGCTCTTGACCAGGAATCAAACCTTTGACCTCTGAGGAACACTGGCCAGGGCTAACCTGTCTGAGGCTTTTAATAGTTGTGACTGTAGGATTTGAATGGCCAGACATTTGATATAGAATTCCTTGAGGTCCTATCTTTAGTTTTTCTCAGTGATTCTCATAAGTACTGCATTGGATTGCAAATCTAAAATCGTGTACTTATTACGGTAAAAGTTTTTACTATAAGCAGTTTTAGCACTTAACTCTGGATAAGATCTGACCACCTGGTTTCAGTATTATCCTTCCTTCATAGATGAGAAATAGGGAGTATTTGCCTAGCTAGTTTAAAAGCAAAGCCATTATTGGCTCCAGCTTGGCTTTTTTCCTCCAGTGGAACAGAGGTGCCTGGGCCCAGCCTTAGACCCCAGTTCTCATTTGTTCGGACCTTTCCATTTCATGTGTTATTGTAACACTTCCAGGAAAGAGGGTCTTTTTAGAGCTGGCAGGGAGCCCTGTCCTGTGGACAGGCAGCGTATCTTCATCTCTGTCCCAGGACCTGGCACTCAGTGAAGATTGTGAGTTTGCTGCCCTTTTTACCCATCTGCGGCCCAACGAGATGACTTGCCTTTCAGGTGGTTGCCACTGATAAATGATTGTGTCATAGGCAGAGCCTGGGATCCAAGGGGCTGAAGAGGAAGCTTCTAGTACCAAATATGGAGATGGAGGCCAAGTCCATCAGATGGCTGGCATAGCAACGCTTGTAGCTTGGGACTGGCAAAGGGGTGACTGGACAGTTCAACTAGGGCAGGGAGCAACACCTCATTCCCTGTCTCTTGGCTTCTCACCCCAGACCTCGAGGCAGAAGCCAGCCTCCCGGAAAAGAAAGGAAATACGCTGTCTCGGGACCTCATAGACTACGTACGCTACATGGTGGAGAACCATGGGGAGGACTACAAGGTGAGTGGCTCAGGCCGGGCGGAGAGCACCACTTGGGCCCATTGGGAAGATACCGCAGACCATTTGTGGTCTGATCTACTTGCTTAGGGCCTTTTCCTGCGTGGAAATAGGGAAGACAGACTCTGGCAGTGGATCCTACTGACAGTGCTAATGGCTGAGACAGACTGAGTGGCTGTCCCCGATATGTTGGATTGCTTGCCTGGGACTTACAAAGAACTTGAACTACTTGCTGTTTTAGTTATGGGAGGTTTTAAATAAAAGTCCATATTTTTAGCTTCCGTTAAACATGGAAAGATCGGGCTACACTGGCCTCCCCCCCTCCCTCCCATGCCAGTGAGATTAGTTGGCTGTGGATGGAGCATGAGCTGCTCAGCTGGCCCCTGTGGCATCTTCCTCCGTTTCCCCACATACACCATGGCTTTTGAGGTGAGGAAGCTGAATCTCTGGGACAGGAAGTGGTGGCCCACCTCCAGCAGAGCTAGGATTTGAACCTTTGCCTATCCATCCCTCACGTAGCCTTTCTCCCTTCTTAGGCTATGGCCCGGGATGAGAAGAATTATTATCAAGATACCCCGAAACAGATTCGGAATAAGATCAACGTCTACAAGCGCTTTTACCCAGCAGAGTGGGAAGCCTTCACTCATTCTTTGCAGAAGAATGCGATGGAGGTAGCGTGACTGGTTTACGCCTGCCCCAGGCTGAAGCCTCCTGGACCCCAGAAGCTGGAGCCAGGGTTTAAGGCAAGGAGGGGGTGTGGCTACAGAGGCTGGCCAAACCCCATTCCCAGCCAGGCTGGCCTGGTTCGGGCGGCATGATGAGTGTCTGCTCCACAGCAGGACCACAGGCAGGGTGTGGCTGGGCGGCTGTGAACCATAGAAAACTCTCCTGTTGCTGAGGTTTCTCCTACAGGCCCCTGAAATGTCTCTCCTCGCTGCTCTGGAAAGCAGGTTTTTACATTATTTAACGTGAAGCTGTGAGGTGTGTGGTTTATCTTCATCTTACATGTAAGGGAACGGGCTTGATGGGCATTGGGGGTGGGCGGTCAAAGTCTTTCCAGCTGCTGAGCCCTGGCTTTCACTTGCTTCTCCCCCTTGGCCTCTGAAGGCAGCCCCTGACCCACCTTCAGGCCACAGACTCCAGCAGTGACTGGCCACGAGGCGCGGCAGGCGCGGCCTTTAGGGTCTAGTCCAGTGGTTCTCCACCTTCTGGCCCTTTAAATACAGTTCCTCATGTTGTGACCCAACCATCAAATTATTTTCGTTGCTACTTCATAACTGTCATGTTGCTACTGTTATGAATCGTCATGTAAGTATCTGCTATGCAGATTGGTCTTAGGCGACCCCTGTGAAAGGGTCGTTTGACTGCCAAAGGGGTCGCGACCCACAGGTTGAGAACCGCTGATCTAGTCTGTGGCAGAGCTCGAGGGCCTTCGCTATTTGACCTCATAACGTTAGTCCTTCACAGCATCCCAAGTTCAGGCCTTAGACTAGCCTGGCCCTGACCTTGTGTCTCTACAGGTCAGGTGCCAATTTTAGGAGGCCTTCCCTATTGTCATCCCCTACCCCCCGGCTGGGTAAGTGTCCTGTAGTCCCCATGCCCCGACTTCCTGTTAGCAATCATCCTGGCATAGCTGCCTTTTAATCTGCCTGACGTCCCCCAGTTCCCTACTAGATGCAGGGATCTTGCCTGTAGATGCTGGAGGAGTGGCCTCCATTCTGACCTTGGGCACAGAGGCTGTCAGGTCTCCTTGCTCCCATTTCCATGCCTGGCTGACATCCCAGAGCCAGGAGTGGGGGAAAGGTTTGGATACTCCCTAGAAGGTACTGAGACCAACGCTGATGCTCCTCACCACCCACCGATGTGAGCTGTTGAGCCCAGGGACTGGGACTTGACAAACTATCACAGCAAGTGTTCTGGAACCACCCTCTACAGCTGTCCCTCCCTGAGCCTGTAAGCACCCAAAAGTCCTCACAACCAGAATTCCAATGAAACCACACCGTTTTTGGCATTTATTGTGTAGTACCTCAGACACCGCCAGCACTAGCTCTTCTGCTGTCCGCCCTTGGTGACTGTCGGCCTGGGTGCAAGGCACAGGCAGGACAGCAAGGCCCTTTACTTCCCGGTCTTTGAGGAAACACCTCCCCTTGTCCCTTAGCGCCCCATCTCCTGGAGGCAGCAGATGAGAAGTGGAAGGGTCCCTTTTCAGAGCTACTAGAAAGGACTGAGGACGTGTGAGCAGAGAGCAAGCATGAGGCCCATGCTCAGTGCCCCTGATCCGAGGTCGGGCAGCTGTGCGAGGACCACACCACAGGCAAGCTTCAGCAGCTGGTGCGAGATGTTGGCAGTTGCTACTAAACTACATAAGAACAAAGTTTTTCAAAGGCAAATGGAAAGGTTTCATGGAGAACCTGACGCTTCCTTCAGGCAGACAGGCCAGTTAGGTTTTCATCAGCACTTCCGCGGAGGGTTGGGGTAGGGGAGCAGTGAGGACTGACTCCGCGCCCTCCCCAGTCTTACGCTGGTTCCACTGCATCAGCGCAAGCTTCCAACGGCAGTTGTGGGCACCAAGAGGTGCTAGAGGCTTCTTGGGATGGGCAGTCCGTCCAAGGTGGTGGTCCCGGCAGCCTCAAGAGCCCTCTTGCCCAGACCATCCACATGTGCCAGCTCGGGGCCAGGTTGGCCCGGATACCTCCTACCTGTTCCCATGTGTAGACAGGTCAGGAGCTGTAGAGCCAGGGCAGTGGTGGGAGCGGTGTCACCCAGACTAGCTCAGGAACCTCACTGAGATGGCTAGCTCCGAGTAACGCCTGGTTTCCAAAAGCACTTACTTGGCTCCTGAATCAGTCACAAGGCCGGGCAGCTAGCTGTCCTGAAGAAAGGCTGTTCTGCTTTGCCCAGTCAGGTTCTGGAAATCGGAGCACAGGGCCCGGTGGCACTCTGCCCCGAGTCTGGCCCAGCAGCCCCAACAGGAGCACAGCTGTCAGCCACAGGTGTGCTCAGGCTCGCCCACAGGCCGACAGAACGTCTGTGTTCCATGCCAGCATCTGAGTGGTGGCAGGCTGGCCCTTCTGCACCCCTCTGCAGTGTCTTCTGATGCCACTGGGACCCATCGGTTCCGAGTGGTCTTTAAAAGTAGCTCAACTACATGTAGTTGAACTCTAATCAAGTTCACCTCTCCCTCTGGGGCCTTTAAAAATCGTACTACATAGGGACTGATACTCAACAGACCAAAGGCTGATCTCAGTGAGGAGAAAGGGTCCCTCACCAGCACTGGTGCCAAAGGTAACTCAAGCACTGGGACCCAGGTGGGGTTCATAGAACACAGAAGTGAAAAGTTGTCAGAAAAGTTTCAAAGGCTACTCTACAATCCAAGCGGTTCCTTAATTGTTGAAAATAAAAACAGACAAGTCCCTTCTTAATGCAGAAAGTTAATCCAAAGCCCTAGAGCAGAGCGAGCTACTCTTCAGTTCTGCCTCCCTCCTTCCCCTCCTCACACCAGCTGAAGAATTGAGCACAAAGTAAACAAATGAAAGGAAGGCACGGAACCTCTGTTCTCAATGAAAAAGCAAACAGAATTGATAAAAAAGAATAGTCCATTTGTGGCCACTGGTTATTCAGTGACCCCGACAGACAAAAGGCTCCTCCTCTTGCCTGCATGAAAGAGAAGTGTCGATGCAGAGACAAAATGGTCCTAACTGGCTGGTCACTGGAAAGAGAATCATGGAATGCGCACGGGCGAGAACACTAGAAATTCCGTCCAACTCTGCTGTGGCTGGGCACCCACGGGTCTGGGAGGCTGAGTGACATGCCCCAGGCTACCCCACTGGCTGGCTGCTACATCCCATCTCTTTACCTGGATTTACACGATTGAAATTTCCTTTCCCAGAGTCCTCTGCTATCTACACAGAAGGGATCTGACATACCGATGGAGGTACAGTTCATGTGGATCAGTGTGAACTCTCCTGGTATCATTATACCAAAGGGCAGGGGAGCTATAGCTTGGCTCCTTGACCTGCATAACTTATCACTGTCATTAATGATTCCAGCCATTTTCCTCAAAGATCCAGATTTTCCATGACAGTCATCTGGGGTTTTGATAGCAGCACCTAGAAACAGAGGCTAAATCTTTGGCCTGTTCCTTTTATAAATAAATAATCACAATGCAGTTCTAGATCAAGGCCCAGCTCTGGTGGACAGTCTTATCTTCTCAGGAAGGGGACTCTGGTCTCTCCCTTACGGAAACCTGGTGCCGGCATCGTTCACACAAGAGCAGCAGCTTCTGTCTCCAGACGTGGTGGGAAATTCAGTGTTTCCGATTGGGGGTGACCACTTACTCCGCAGTCATGAGAGGCTGGGGCCGGGCCTCAGCTTGGGGAAGTGGGGACGTTGCAGACCCTTGCTAGGATCTCCAGGTTTGTCCTCACACTTATCTCCGATGCCGGGAAATGCATCTCTCAGTTGAAAAAAAAAAACCCACACAAAGCACAGAAATCACCTTCCTGTTAAAATGATGGCCCTGGGGCCAGAAGGGAAGAGACTGGTCAAAGCCACAAGCCAGATGGGCAGAGCTGGGGCTGGAGGACCACGTGGAACTGAGAGCCAGGGTTCACTGTGTGCTGCCTAGAACCTGTCTGTGAGGGGCATGAAACTGCCAGGAGGAAACAGCCTGACTATTTTTTCAACCACCAGGACCTGCAGGGAGGGGAGCACTGAGCCCACCCTCTGCCCCACCCCACTTCAGCCCCACGGACACCTCACCAGGAAGGATTCTGCGTGGTTCTAGGCTCTGATGAGGGCAAGGAGAGAAGGGACGTGCTGCCACGCAGCTCCTGCCCCAGGCCCAGGCCCAGGCCAGTGATGAAGAGCAGGAGCAGCAGAACTGGGCTCCCAGGGCTGGTGGGTGAGCAGGTGGTGCCAGCCTAGGAGAGAAGCTGCAAGAGTAGTTTCCAGATGTGCACGGTGCCGGGGTCTTCAGATCCGGGTCGCACAGGGGCGATGCTGGCCCCCAGGAAGAAGACCTCCCGCTGGCTGTCGACCACCTGCAGCCCCAGCTCCCGCTGCAGCTCCACCGCGCTCATGGCCTCGCTCAGGTCCTGGTGAAACAGCCACAGTGTTCCCACACCCGGCCTCGTCCTCCAGGAAATAAACTTGAGCTACCTCAGGGAACCCTGGGGCCCAAGTTCCCAGAGTGGCCTCTGGACCCCTTGGTCTAAACTTTTCCTCACCTCTGCCTTTCCTCTGTACTAATCTCATTATCATCAACCACTGTGGTTAGAAGTAGCACTTCCTATACATCAGACATTGTGATAAGTACCAAGTCTTACTCAATTCTCAGTTTAAACCAACTGATGAGGAAATTGGCTCAGAGAAGGTGAAGTCATTGTCAAGTAAACAACTGGCAGAGCCAGATTTCAAACTCAGGTTGGTGTGATGCCCAAGCTTAGGACCTTACAGGAATCCCAGCTGTGTCCTAAACTCAGGGGTGGAGAGATCTTAAGTGGGCTCACTCCCAGACAAGTCAGAGGCCACTGCAGAACGTGGCCGCTGAGGGTACATTGTAATTTCAAGCCTGGCTTAAGATTGAAATGATTTTTCTTGGAGCAATTCATAGAATGCTGGGACCTTCAGTGTTGTCTCCTGTAGGTTCAAAATTGCTATAAATTCCAGTTTATATGTAGGATGATGATGTAATTCATCGTCCAAACTGGGGCGTTTCTGAGACTCAAAGTGGGTACTACCAATAATTATACTAGAATAACGGGCATAAATGGGTATTGTCCCAGGCAGACAAGGATGTATAGTCACCTGTTTATATATGTCACGTATTTCCCAATAGGCAGGGGGAATCCGAGGTCAAAGATGCAAGCCTCTCTCCCAACAGGTTGGAAACATGTCCCGTGACACGCAGGGACATGGGCACAGGCCATAGGAGATATTTCAGGACTCCATACTGTGGCCGTTTCACCTGGTGCTGAGAATGGCACTTTAGGTCAAGGGTGGCTGGGCCCAAGGCACCACTCTGGCACCTGGGAGAGGTATATGTAGTGGTTAACAGGGTCTCTGAGGACGATCTGAGTTCAGTCCTGGCTTTGCCGCTTACCAACTAGAACTTTGGGCACTTGGGGACAACAGCAAGGCCTGTCGTGGGGCTTTGTGGGACTGATGTGAGGTCATGGTTGTCAGGTGCTTAGCACTGTGCCTGGTGCACCGTAAGCACACGCACAAGTGCTCGTTATTATTAGACTTATTCGTTAATCTCCCATCCCTTCCCAGCTTTAGCTCTGATCGGAGCCAGAAGTCGCAAGGACATAGCAGAGTGAAAAGCCGCAGGTTTTGGAGTTGATATCCCACTTTCACTGTTTTCAATGTGAACGGCCTTGGGGAGATGACAGAATCTCTCTGAGCTTCAGATGCCCTGTTTGTAAAATGGGACTAGTATTTCATACCTTGGAGGGTCAGGAGAAGCATAATATGAAAATGTCATTCAAAGCCACACCTGGCGTCTAGTTTCTCATTTCTCTAGGATGACCAATGACAGGGAGGCAGCAGGGAAGGCAGACAGGACGGGGATTTGGGGTGAGGAAGGAGCAGAGGCAGACGAGTGGGGGACAGGCTGTCCGCCAGGGCTCTAGTCATGGGCCTGGGCCTGAATCCCTCTCCAGTGCGCCCACCCAGCCCGGCCACTTGTGGATCAAGTCTGACCTGAGCCAGACTCGTGTGGCCCTCACCTGCTTGTTGGCCACCACCACGACAGGCAGGTCGGGGTCCTTGTCCAGCAGCTTGTGCAGCTCCTGCCGGGCCCAGGGCAGCCGCAGCCGGTCAGCCGAGTCCACCATGAACACCAGCACGTCCACCTCGTTCACAAACTCCTTCCAGTAGAAGCGCAGGTTCTGGCTGCCGCCAACTGAGGAGAGGCCGGGGCCAGCTCAGAGCCTCCCTAGGCCCCGGCTCTACAGACAGCCCCATCCCCACCCTCATCCAGCTTCCCAAGGCTTCACCCACCAGGAACAAGGAAAAGACCACAGGTTCCAGAGCCAATCAGACCTGGGTTTAGTTCTGCCTGAGCGCTGGCTCTCCCTGGACAAGTTGCTACCTTCAAATATTAGCCTCCTCCTACTAAACTTACTTAACAGCAAAACCCAACGGTACGTATACAGTGCTCTGTTCTGAGGGCTGGTGTATAGTAGGTGCTCAATAAATAGTACTCTCCACTTCTTCCTCCTGGGCTGCCTTGCCTCCTGCCAATTCCTGGCTTCCTCCTGGGTCAGCAGCTGTGGTCAGAAGCCAGGACTCCCTACCCTGCTGGTGCACAGCCATTCTCCATTCAGTTTTTGTTCAGTCTGGTCACCCCACTTTCTTCCCCCAGAAATGCCATACTCAGTCCTACCACGTGGCTGCCCACATACACCCCTGATGTGGGTTGCCGTCCTTTTCCTTCTGTACCTCTGCACAGTCCCCAGTGGTCACCCTGCAGCCTGGTGTTTCTGGTTATAATTCTGACCCTTGTGGATTCTAAGTTCTTTGAGAGTTAGAGCTGTTTACCTCTGGATCCCCCCAAAGCCCTCAGCACAATGCCTGGCACACAGCAGGCACTCAACAAGTATTGACTGAGTGCTTACTAGGTGCCAAGCACTGACCTGGGTGCTGGGGAAACAGAGGTGAGTGAGGCAGGCAGGCGCCCTGCTCTCATGGGGCTCCCCCCGCAATCAGGACAGACAAGCAACAACACCAAGATTTCAGAAAGGAAGGAAATAAAACAGAAAAAGTGGAAGTGGCTGTGGGGTGCCTTTGGATTAGGGGTCTCCCCAAGGAGGTGGCATGTGGGCTGAGTGGACTGATGAGAAGGAACCAGCCATGGGAGAGGCAGAGAAAGTGTTCCAGGCAGAGGGAAGAGCACACTGGGAGGAGGTAGCCAGAGTGGCTGAGGGAAGCCACGACCAGCAGCCTGGCCAGGGCTGAACCACACGGGGCCTGGAAGGCCGGAGTGGGGCTGTGGAGCCCCCTAAGGGGTTTTGAGAGTGACCTGATCTGAAAGATACCACTGGCTGACCTGGGACAGACGTGAAAGCGGGAAGACCAGCAAGGAGGCTGTTGTACTGAGATGATTTGGGGTTGGACTAGGCAGGCAGTGGTGGAGGTGGGGAGAAGTGGACAGACCAGAATGTGGACAGACAAGGATAAAGCGGACAGGACTAAGCTGATTAAATGGACATGAGAGGTGGGGGAAGGGAAGAGTTATCAAAGACCCACAGAGGCTCATTCTCGGTGGGTTCCAGGCCTGGCATTGTAGGAGACCACCGCAAGGTGCATGTTCTGGGAGGCAAAAGCCCCAGGACTTGAGCGGGAGATCTGTGGTTGAATCCAGGCTGAAGGACCCTATGGAGGTGCACTGTTACTGGCCAGACCCTTGGGGAACATGAAGAAACAGAACCCTTCCTCCCAGGGCTGGAGGAGAGGGGCACCGTGTCTCCTGACAGGGTGGGTCTCGAGGGCAGAACCCTCCCTTAACCTTTCTGTGTCCCTGGCACCAACGAGGGAGATGGGGACAGCTTGCTGAAAAGACCGAAGTCCAGGTGAACATCAGTGTTTGCTACAATCAGGGAGGAAAGATGTAGGCAGATCAGACCAATAGGCAAGTGCCTGAGATCAGAGGAACTGGGCCCAGTCAGGCCAACAGCCAGGCCCTCAGAGTCTGAGCCCCTACCCAGCACTCAACCTAAGCCACCCAGTCTTTATGGTCTGAGTCCTGTGGCTGACAGGAAGTCTACTGTCCCTCCGTCCAGTCTGTGGCTGAACACAGGTGGCTAAGTACTGCTGCCCTCTCTGTCCTGCTCTCTCAAGATCCCAAAAAGCTTAACACCGCGGGCAGGGGGCAGCTCAGACCCTCTCTGATCAAGAAGGTCTCCCAGATACCTGCCTGGGGCTGGGCCTGGGGCCAGCGCTTGGTCAGACCTGTCTGTCTCAGAGGCTGGGATGTGGGAGATACAGCAGAAGGTGCGCCCAGAGGGAGAGCCCTAAGCCTAGCCAGGGCCTCAGAGGAGGCTTCCCAAGGACATCATGTTTGATGTAGATCTTGAAGGATGAGGATTAGTTTATCAAGGGAAGGTGGCTTTCCAGACTGAGGGAACGGTGCTTGCAAAGGACAGAAGCAAGAAGGAAAATGGAAGTCCCCTTCAGAACCAAGCAATGGAGCACGGTGCTGATCGAGAGTCACCGTTGCTGGGCCTCAGTTTCCCCATGTCTTAATGAAGGTAATAACTGTTTCCAGTTGCATGGAGTTGCTGGGAGGATTTTATTAAGTACAGTCATGCACTATAGATATTTCGATCAATATCGAACCACATGTATGGCAATGGTCCCGTTAGATTAGAATGGAGCTGGAAAATTCCCATCAACTAGTGCAGTGGTCAGCAAACTACAGCTTGCAAGCCACATGTGGCTCTTTGGCCCCTTGAGTGTGGCTCTTCCACAAAATACCGACTTCTGCACATGGACCACTAAGTTTCAATCGCACTGTATGTGCGTGCCCACACGTGGTATTTTGTATATAGCCACGGACCTAGTGACATCGTAGCACAACACATTACAGTTGCCTACAGCATTCAGTACAGTAACTGGCTGTATGGGGTTGTAGCCTAAGAGCACACAGCCTAGATGTGTAGCAGACTGTACCATGGTCCTAGGTGCATAGGGGAACTCCATGATGCTCGCACAAGATCACCTAAGGATGCATTTCCCAGGCAGCATCCCCGCCCACGTGGCTTACAGAAAACTAGCTGTCAGTATGTGTTAGGCATGTGGGCTTCAGCTGGAGTGAGGCACGGGCAGGAGGACCAAGCTGGAGCTGCCTATTCATGAAGACCCCCCACGTCAGAAGACACTTTTGTATCCTGTGCCCTGGAAGGGGAAGAATTTCATACAGGGGCGCGATCTGCTTAGGTGTGCATTTTGGAGCCACCCCCAGGCAGAGCGCCCAGGCTTGGGTCCCCTCAGGTGATGGGGAGCCAGTATGTGTGCCGGGGGTGAGGTGGGGGGGCGGGGCTGGGGGAGTCTGCTCACTCTCTAGCAGGTCCACCTCGAAGTCCCTGGTGGGCAGCCGCACGGAGTTGAAGCCCCAGGTGGGGATGTGGCCTTCCAGCGGCGACTTCCCGGACAGCACGCGCAGGAACGTGCTCTTGCCGGAGCCATCCAGCCCCAGCACCAGCACCTCGCGCTGCTCCAGCTCCTCCAGCGCCGGCTCGTCGTCCTCCTCGTCTTCGGGCTGCGGGGCAC